TTTTTTTTTTTTTTAAAAGAAACACTTTATTTATCTGTCCGTCGATTGGTTGTCATAGGTCATGACGCATTTTCAAACCAATCAGGTTGATCTTCTACCCCGGTGGTATCGCGTGAAGTGGTAGATGCTCAAAACAACAAAGGAGGTAGGATCTTGACTTGAGAGAATTGGGTAGAGGCTTTTTTTTAAAAAAATGTAAGTTCTGTTGATACAAAGCTGATACAAAACACGGTACGGTAATGATTCCGCATGTAGTGGTAACATTTTGTTTACTTTCCTAGCCAATAGACTGACATTAACGTTTGTAACCAAAGAGATAGCGCTAGCTGTATCAATTTTCCTGACAAGAAAAAAAAAAAAACCGGAAGTACGGCAACACTTTTTTTCAGCATACAACGAGGCGCGCCGTACCACTGCACATTCATGTTTGCTCTGCTTCAGGTTACATTCATACCGTTAGAGTTAAAGCGCCCCTGTTTTTCATAACGACAGTTCTGATGACATAACGAACTCGTTGACTTTTACTAGATTCTAGCACCAATTAATGAAAGCAAAGTTAGCTAAGTTAATTTTATGTTAACCTCCGCGGTACGGCCTTTATTTTGACAGTTGTGACTAAGAGTAGTACTATTTTATCCTGTCTTGTGCCTTGCTGGCCAAATCCCGTTATCTTTTTAAAATGTCAGTCCCTTTTTTTTTGAAGTTCAGCAATGTTGTAGTTCATTGTCTTTCGAAGTATTACTCGCTAGGCTATAAGGAAAGATTAGGTATGCGGTGTTTTAGTGTGCATCATAAAAGATATTTGCAAAAACAGGTAAGTGACACACAGGGACTGTGCACCTCAGACAGTGTAGTTGCTTTCTGGTTTAAAAAGAAAACGCAGTGTGAAATGCTGTTTAAAATGTGCTCGGTAGGACAGATGTAACAGACATTAACAGTTAAGTACACGCATGAGGTGTAACATCTTTCCTAATTGTTGTTTTCTTTATGCCAGTTGTCTGGGTTCCCATAACTATGTCTCACAGACTGACCAAGGAGGAGCTGGATGAACAGTTTGAGCTGTTCTTAAAGGAGGTACTATATAGCACTATGGTACTGTGCACAGATTATTATGCAGTCCATTAGGGTCTGCATGAATTGCACAGTATGAAAGGAATCATTCATCTGTCAGCATTAACATCTTATAAACGGCTTCAGATGCACAAATGGCCTGAGTGACGCTGAACGCACATGTGCCGAATCTGGTCAAACTTCAACTCTTACAAATTAAAACACTGACTGGATAATAAATACTGTAAGTCTAAAAAAAATAAGTAGGCAATGTTTGTCTAATAGATGCATTTCCAAATCAGAGCAATAGTAGAGCAAAGCTATGAAGCTGATACGACCATGGCTGGCCAGACTGTCCTCACCATATTGGCTAATGTCAGAAATGCTACTGGGACGACTGGTCTTTTTTTTTAGTGATGTCCAATTGACACCATGACCCCTATATCGAACCACTTCATCATTTGTATCCAGTATTGGTTCATTCATTCAAAGGTTCGGTTTAGTGCCATCTGGTGGCGAAATAGTATGCAGCAGAACAATGTCTGAATTATGTGATGGTGTAACTAGGCTTTGTGTGAATGATGTGAAAACATTTGTAAAGATTTATTGGTCATGAATGTATGTAGTGTAGTAGGTGGGAGAAGGCTGCTTGGGGAAACAGGATGTGCTAGGATGGTAATATGTGCATATGTAACTAGGACAGGGTGTGAATACAAGGGATGGAGAATCAATCATTTTTATTCAAGAACAAAAGTTTCTCCACTGTCTTTGGGCCGATCAGCTGAAAGTGTTCCCACATTGAAGAACAGGGTCTCTTCCTCTCCATGGTGATCACACACCAGCAGCAATGATCATGCCGACAGCAACTACGCACACACCTACTACGCCGACAAACCCTCATGTCGCGCATCATCTTGGGTGGCTTTATAGTACCCCTATGCCTACGCACCTGCTGACGTGTGCAGCGAGATTTCACTTCGTGACACCGTATCGACGGTCTGAACTGGTCACGGGAGTCACTCAAGCCAGCCGTTTCTGCGTTGGACGTCATTAGTCACGTGTCTTTTCGGCAACGATACAAGCCTCGAGGCAGTGGTTCGCGGAAAATCCCTCTCTGAGCTCGAATCATGTATCTAGGCCTTGGTGTCAGATGGCCATCACTAGTCTTTTTTTAAAGGACACATGTATGAGTGTTTAACATCAGAGGTGGAGACAAAAGACTAGGGTTGACAGTTTAAAACTCAATTTTGTGCTGAAGTTTTGTCTCTGATTCCAACTTGATTCCCTGTCAGTCTGTTTCAGATGACTCGCTGGACTTGGGAGATTCTGACAAGCAGTCCCTTGCTAAAAGCAGCCAGAAATCACCCCAGAAAACAACAGTGTCATGGTGGCAAGATGATGAACACAGTGGAGGAGGAATGGGCAAAGGTAATAATGAGAGGACCCTCCATGAGTTAACTTCATAAAATGCCAATGAAGTAGTCTGTAGTGGAAACACAAAATAGATGTCACTGGCTCACTGGGGACTATCTGGAACATGAGTGCATCTTTAGAATTTCTTCTTTATTGGTGACCTCAGCATGGTCTTCTATAGTTAAAGATTTTGACTGGCTTTGTTTGTTGTTAGAACTTAGTTGATTGAGTGAGTTACAGCTTTTCTTTCTTTTACTTGGTAGTAAATTCAATATCTTTGGGTTATCGACTGAACATCTTGAGCTTTAGAAAATTGTATTGCAAGTGTTTTCTTAAATTTTGTAGACAGACTATAGTTTGTTCAAATAATAACAGTAATTGGCAGATTACTGACAATAATGATTAATGACAATCACTGCTTTCAAAGCTTAATATACTTTTACATCTGCCGAAAAGATGGATGGCGTTTGTTTGTTTTACCTCTGGCAGTTTACTTCATCGTTTTGTACCATTTAGGGTTATTTACTGGACAAAAAGTGGAGGCGATCCCAAACTTCTGAGTGGTAGTATATATTTACAACACATTAAATTAAAACATTAAAAACTGAAGGGTTCTGAATGTTTTCTGAAGCCACTGTATGTTGTTCCTCATTAACCGGTTTCAGCAGACAAGCAGGATGTCACTGTTTCATCTTCTTCTGCTTTCTGATAACACTGTCCGGTCTGGCTTGCTAAATATGAACATTTTTGTCTGAACTTCCATTTTCAATTGTTTATTTACAGGGTTATGAAAATATAACCCTATCTATTTTTCTCAAATTTGCATATCTTTCTTGCTTACTATGGCTTATGTCCACTGAGCACTGAAGCACACATACACAGCATGCTCGTGTTTGGAACATGCAAGTGTTATTTGGCAAAATTCGGTCTTTAAGAAGGTTAATCCACTGTAAAATAGTTTTATACTCATTTAAAATCTAAATGAGTCATTTCATATTGTAATGTAGCCATCATTTAGTCAAGCTGGTTTCTTTTTATAAAAAAAACCCCTGGGTGTGCAGGTATTATTTTATGTTTGATTTCAATATGACAGAGTGGTTGGGTAAACACAGGTTGGATCTCTGTGAATCCTTTGTACAGCTGAGCAAGCAGCGTTTGAGCTGTGACTGTCAAGCAGCAAGTGCAGCAATACAATAAAATACATAACACAAAATCTAAGGCACTTTAAGCAGCAAGTGCAGCAATACAATAAAAATATATAAGAATATAATAGAGAATGTATGCTGCATGGGAGCAGCATGTGCAGCAGTCAACAGTCAATGTGCAATTATGCATGTGCAAACTGAGAATGTAAACAGTACAGGTTGACTATGGCTGCACGATATTGGAAAAACATGCGATATGCAATACGGGTGTTGAATATTGCGATATCGATATTATTGCGATATTTAATATTCCCCTGAAGAAATGGTATTTTCATTATCTAATCGCAGGCTATATGTATTCTGATCGAATTCATTGTAATTCAGGCTAACTATTATGTGGTGCGAACAAACTTTACAAATACTACTGCATACCTGTTGTAACAAAAAATAAAAAGGCATTACTCTCAATCATTTTATTCACATGTAACCATGTGTACAACATGTAATTGCCAAGAGCATCTGAACCAAGAGCTTTAACAGCTTTGAAACAAAACATTGCCTTGCTTGCCTGGTTTTCTATACATATTAAATAAATAAATAAAAATATTATAAAATCTTAGAAAACATAAAGTGCCCAGACTGTAAGTAAAT